CGCGCAGGTCGCGCAGCTCCCGCTGGAAGAGCTCGCCCACGCGCGACGGCTCGGCGTGGCGCTGCCGCAGCGCCGCCAGCTCGGTCTCGAGCGCGCGGTTCTGCGTCTCCAGCTGATGCACCTTCTCGATGAACACGGCGAAGCGGTCGTTGAGGCCCTGCAGCTGCTCCTTCTCGTTGGTGCGGATAATCTTGTACTCGTTGGTGCGCGCCGCCGCCTGGCTCAGGTCCAGCCCGTCGGACGCGGGAGGCCGGCGGTAGGCCAGGCCCAGGCCGAGAGACGCGGTGGAGCAGGCGGCGGAGGAGGCCACATTGCAGCGGGACAGCGACTGGGAGCGGTAGCTGCCGGCGCCGCCAACCCCGGAGAGGCGCGAGGACAGGCGAGAGCTGTCTCCGAACACCTTGCGGTAGGAAGAAGGCCCGCACAGGTAGTGCTCCGAGCTGAAGCTCATGGTGCCGGGACCAGCGCCGGGAGAGCGACTGCGGCTGTAGATACAAAGGAGAGGAGAGGTGCGCCGGGCGGGGCGCGCCGGGGCGCTGTGCGCCGGGTTTTAAGGCGCGGGGGTTGGGGCGGCGCGTTGAGGGCGGAGCTCCTGCTCTGGACTTGGCGTGGAGAGTGAAGGGGGGGGGCATCGGGATCGGGGGAGGGGAAGCACAGCGATGACCGCAGCTGCGCACGCGACTGACCTGGGGCTCCTGGACTGGGCCATTTGCACAGCAGCCGCCCCCCGTCCTCAGTGTCCCTCTCTAAAAATCGTCTGGTTTGGAAATGACTTGAGCGCAGGGGTGCCCAAACAACTGGGGTTTTCCATCCCGGAAACCTCACGGTTCTGTCGCGTCCCCTGACCCTGTCCTAGGGTTTTCTCGGAGGTGTCCCCTACGCCCATCCGCACCCCGAAGCTCCCGAGCTGCAGGCCCCGTTTTTCCAGTTAGAGTGGGGACCCAGAGGGCGAGGCTTTGTCCCCTCCCTCAGCCCGTTCGGGGTTCCCAGGGGAAAAGTGGGCCTACGTCAGAGAGCGTCTCATTAGCTGTTCCTCTGCAGCTCCGGGACTGCCAGGGGCGGGAGGCTGCGCAGAAAGCCTTCGACGACCCCCCCGGGGGGGGGGAAGGTAAAGTACGCGCGGGTCTGAGTTCCAGAGAGTGGAAAGAAGCGGAGAAAAGAGCTAGGATGGCCGCGCTGGCCACAGCCGCGGCGCCCCTGCCGTTTGTGTAGGTGTGCTCTCACGTTCACCACAGTCCTCACCACTCTCCGCTGAATTACGCCCACCTTCTTCATTCCTTTACCTGTGTGGCCCGGTAGACATTGGCGATTTCAGTCTGTGTAAATCCTCATGTGGCTTGTGAGGACCCCTTCCTGTGGAGATCTCTCTTTGGACAAAAGAGATCCTTGCAAACAGATCCCCAGGAGTGGGGAAGAGTGATGGTAACCGAGCTGGCCTCCTTTACCATGCATTGGGGGGCTCAAAGAATGGGATCTGGAAAAATGAAGCTGGGAGGAGTCAGTGTGGGGTCTGCAGTATGTAGTACTTACCTTCAAGCTTATAATATCTCTCAGGATGTGGCTATGACTTTAGAGGGAGAGTGGGAAGACCTGTTAGGAGATTCCAGAATTTCAGACTGAAGACATTTCTTGGTCTTGGAATCTCAAGGAAGTAGCTCTAAGGTAAATTTTGACTTAATGGGGGGAAATATTACCTGAGACAGAAAACTAGAGGAAGGGAAACAGGAGTCCAGTGGGACTCTGAAGCATATCTCCTGGCTTTGTGCTTGGTCATGGGAGATGGTCAGGCCTTTTCATAACCTGTTCCCTGGTTCCTATCACAGATCAAGACCTGAGCTGGAGGAACTCAATTCTGAGTGCTTTGGGTTTAGAAAGACCTCATGAGGCGAGGGATGGAAGAGTGCTCACACTACTGAATACTCCGTGCTAGCCATTGTGCTAAGACTTTTGCATAGGTTTATCTCCTTCCGGCCCCTCTTCACCGTGGCCCTTACCTCTTTCTTACAGATAAGAAACCGAGGCCCAGCTGTAGTACTCTGCATAAAGTCACTAGCACATTCTTTCCTCACCACATAATTCTACTTCGTAGAGCAAGGAAACTCTTGAAGTCTCTCTCTTTCTCTCCCTCTCCCTTCCTCTCTCTGAAATCAATAGAAATGTTTTTTTAAAAAATCAGCAAAATACCCTGGCTGGAGTTTCACCTTTCTTTCTCCTTCCATTCACCAACAGAAGCAGTACTCCAAAGGCAAAACACACGTAGAACAGAAGAAAGTATACAGAAGACCCAAATGATCCAACAGAGGAGTAGCGGCACTGGACAATCTACAGTGGGCTGCAGTTTGCATTCACTGAACAGCTTCCCAACTGAGATTCCCCCATGGGAGTTATACCTCCCCTTTCTCAAAAGGGAGGTATAAGTCCCATGGGGGAATCTCAGGCCCAATATGTTTGGCTTTAATAATTTTAGCACAAAGCTGTACTACAAAGGAGTGATCTTGGCGGAGCCTCAAACCACAAGGCCTTCCAGCTGGCCAGGTTTCCTGAGGGATTGCCCTGTCTTCATCTTCCCCTGATGTCAGACTCAGGCACTACAGACACATGGGTGTCTAATTCCCAGGTTCTCCCTCATACCACATCCTATGTGGCCTCCTTGTGGCATTTGGCAGTGCTCACCACTCTCCTTTGTTCCAACGATTCAGTTTTCAGCCTTCTGCTCTTCCCTCATAAACTTTTTTTAGTTGTTAGGTCTCCTAGAGTCAGGGAGGCTTTGTATTAAAGTCTCCTTCGTGAGAGATCCACCTTTACATCATGGGTCTTCCTAGACATGGAACTTTGACTAAGTCACTGTTATTTGCTGAACCTTAGTTTCTGCACCTGTACAATTTCAATGAAACCATCCACTTGAGTGGTTTCCATCCTGACTGCACATTAGAAGCAATGTTGAAATTGTTAAGGTTCAAATGCTTCTTCCTCCATGAAGCCTCCCCTGCTATTTCCATTGTAAAGTGGTCCTTCCTTTCCATGAACTCTTCTCCTCCTACCCATAGCTGCACATGGCGTACAGTTGCCTACCATTTTCTGCTGTAAGACACATCAGTCTGTGTGGTTGTAGTTTGTTCACAAGTTTGTGTTTACACAGTTTAGCATTGATGCATAGTGTTCTCCCTTCCACTTGTTCCATATTTTTTCTCAGGGTGCTTGGGGTTTCTTGGTGACCATTTCTATTTAAAAATAAAATCAAAACGAAAAGTTTGTTTTGGCCTTAGCATTCCGCCTGTGATTAAGCTTATCCGAAGGCTCTGTGCATCTGTGTGCTTCTCTCTCTTTCTCTCCAATGCTTTTAGCCTTCCCAGAATCGTCTCTTCACTCACCTCTCCTAAATCCGAAGCTAGGCTAAACTGGAGTTACCAGGGCTCGGGGATTAGGAGAAACAGGAAGGCTTCCCCGCGCAGGCACGTTTCAGAACCTCGGACAGCGCCCCAGCCTTCCTTGGGCGGGTGCCTGCTTTTTACACGTCACAAAAATGTCGTTTTTTGCGGAGTCTAAAAAGCAGACTTTTGCTGACGCCCAGAGAAAGAGTTCTAGTCAGCAAATATTTCAGGATTATTAACTGCCTGGCTGTGGGAGATACAAAGTTCTTAGAGGGCTCCATTTCCCCCAGTGTCTGCTGTATCTACATGTCTGCCAATGCCTAAAAAGAATCCTTCAGTTCAACTCAGCAAACTTACGTGGATCAAGCTTTTCCCTCCATGGAAAGGGAACTGCCTAAATACAGATACACTCTGAGAAAGGGAACAAAGGGACTTCAATTAAATGAGAAAATAATTGCTTTTTTTTTTTTTTTTTTACAATTAAAAAGTATATAGATCTTTATTGATTTCAGAGGGAGGAAGGGAGAGGGGGAGAGAGAGATAGAAACATCAATGATAGAAAGTCATTGATCGACTGCCTCCTGCACGCCCCCTACTGAGGAATCCATCCTGCAACCCGGGCATGTGCCCTGACTGGGAATCGAACAGCAATCTCCTGGATCGTAGGTTGATGCTCAACTGCTGAGCCACACCAGCCGAGTGACTAAATAATCTCTTCTAAGGGGTGGTCTCCATGGGGTCTATAGGAGAGAGCACCAGAGCATTAAGGGCCCAAAAGGGGCAGGAGAGAGCATGACAAGGTGAAGTGGAGAAGAGGAGCATTCGGGGAAGCCTGGGGTCTCTGAAAGCAGACATGGTGAGCTTTGCATTGTTCACACCTGAGCACACAGGTAAAGGAGAGGCCTCATACTTCCCTAAAATGAGAGTATAGAGGCCTAATGCCTCCTCTTCCATATACACAAAGCAAGAGTCACTAGACTCATTTTCCAAAGATATTTATATGATGATTCAATATACTTTGTCTTCTTTGTACCTCACAATAAACTTAGGGTTTTATTATCTCCATTTTCCAAATGAGTAAACTGAGACACTGAGAGGCTGGGAAACTTGCCTAAAGTGCCACAGCGACAAAATGGCAGAGCTGGGCCTTGAACCCAGTTTCTCTGACTCTAAGCTGGTGTTCTTTCCATTATCCTATATCCCTAATGGGACCTTTGTGTGTGTGGTAAAATATACATAATATGATTTTTATTATTTTAACTGTTTTAAAGTGTACAATTCAGTTGCATTAAGTACATTCAAAATGTTGTGTAATCATCACCACTGTGTATTTCTAAAACTTTTTTATCATCCCAAACAGAAACTCTTTCTACATTAATAACTCCCCAGTCTCCCAACCTCTGGTAACTTCTATGTTCTATTGAGTTTGACAATTCTGAGCACCTCATGTAAGTGGAATCACACATTATTTGCTTTTTTGTGTCTGGCTTATTTTATTTAGCATAATGTTTTCAAGGGTCACCCATGTTATAGCATTATTAGGACTTAATTTCTTTTTATGGCCTATTGGGGTCTTGTGGTTGCAAAGGACAGATTCACTCAGGCCACCAGAAGTAATGAGGGGTTATTGTAAGCAACCTTGTAAAATTAAGGAAGACAGAAATATCAGCTACATGGCTAGATGCTCAGAAATAGCCATATGGCTGGGCTTATTGGAACTTAAATACAGTTTGGAATCTGATCAGCACAGCTCTAGGGACTAAAATATCTCATTGCCCCCGTCGTGGCAGGAATTTGCTGTTTTCTGATACTCAGTCATTTTGCCAACTTAGTGATATTTTGCTTTCACAGCTCTTGTATGGTCTGGCACTACCAACCACCTACCTCTTTCTCTATCAAAAACAACTCTCAGGCTTTCACTGACTCCAGAATTCTATCATTTCAATGATATGCTATCTTTTCTCCCTTCGTGTCCTTCATCTCCTGTACCCACTGTCAACTGACAAACTGTCCAAAAAACCAATTCTATTTTCTGATTGGCCTAGTTAATTGCCAATCATCTTATACCATACCACCTCAT